GAAGGGAGGGCCCCTGAGCATAGATGGAGCAACATACCTTGGGCACAGGCAGAGACAGAGACACCTTTTACTCTAAGCCTGCAGGTGCTGATGCCTATGTCTGTTGGTGGGGAGCAGATAGGACATTGGGGAGTATACAACTGATGGCCTCGGTTTCCTCTAATCTAATCTAATCTAAGTGTTATATTGGTATGAAGGACCTTGGAGACAGAGTTGGCTAGAGTCCCTCTTCTTCTGTGACCTCCCACTCCTCAACCATCCACAAATCCCTGGCCATGCCCAGTGCTCTTGAACTGTCTTGACTGTGAAATGTACTGAGCTCCAGCAATCAACCCATTGCAAAATTTAGTCCTTATATGATAGAGTGTGTGTAAAACGTTTAACCCAGCACATAGGAAATACTCCGTAAATGGTGGCCCTTTTTGTTTGTACTACCAAGAATGTACATGTCTTATCTTGCTGCTATAGAGCAGTCTATATGGTATGAGTCCTCACCCTCCTCAAGCTTATGTTCTTTTTTTTTTTTGAGATAGAGCCTCAAGCTATCCCCATGGGTAGAGTGCTATGGCATCACAGCTCACAACAACCTCTAACTCCTGGGTTCAACTGAGTCTTCTGCCTTCACCTCCCAAGTAGCTGGGACCACAGGCGACTGCCACAACGCCTGGCTATTTTTGGTTGCAGCCGTCATTGTTGCTGTGAGCTGTGACACCACAGCAATCTACCAAGGGTGACAAAGTAAGACTCTGTCCCTAAAATAAATAAATAAATAAATAAATAAATAAATAAAATGGTGCTTTGTTTTTTGAATATACCTGCACTAAAAACATTTTCTTTTCTTTTCTTTTTTTTTTTTTTGAGACAAAGTCTTGCTTTGTCGCCCCAGGGAGAGTGCTGTGGCATCATAGCTCATAGCAAACTCAAACTCTTGGGCTCAAGTGATACTGTTGCCTCAGCCTCACAGGTAGCTGGAACTATAGGCACCTGCCACAGCACCTAGCTATTATTTAGAGATGGATGAGGTCTCGCTCTGGCTCAGGCTGGTCTCGAACCCATGAGCTCAGGCAATCCACCCGCCTTGGCCTACCAAGTGCTAGGATTATAGGCATGAGCACTGTGCCTGGACAAAACAATGTTTTCTTTCTTTCTTTCTTTCTTTTTTTTTTTTTTGCTGTTTTTGGCCGGGGCTGGGTTTGAATCCACCACTTCCAGCATATGAGGCCGACGCCCTAATCCTTTGAGCCATAGGCACCGCTCCAAAACAATGTCTTCTAAGACCTAGAATTTAGATATATACAAAAGCTGAAATAAAGAGTTCATTAAACAGTACTCATCCTTAATTTGAATGATGCCTCCGATATTTCCTATTCTATTTTTTAAAAGTAATGGTCAAGATATTATTATGAACTTAATTGTATCCCTCTAAAATTCATACATAGGCCTGGCGAGGTGGCTCATGCCTGTAATCCTAGCACTCTGGGAGGTCTAGGCAGGTGGATTGCTTGAGCTCAAGAGTTTGAGACCAGCCTAAGCAAGAGTGAGACCCCATCTCTACTAAAAATGGAAAAACTAGTCAGGCATGGTGGTGGGTGCCTATAGTCCCAGCTACTCGGGAAGGTGAGGCAAGAAGATTGCTTGACCCAGCCCAGCGCCTGTGGCTCAAATGGCTAAGGCGCCAGCCACATACACCTAAGGGGGTGGGTTCAAATCCAGCCCAGGCCCACCAAAACAACAATGACGGCTGCAATCAAAAAAAAAAAAAATAGCCGGGCGTTGTGGCGGGCGCCTGTGGTCCCAGCTACTTGGGAGGCTGAGGCAGGAGACTCGCTTGAGCCCAAGAGTTGGAGGTTGCTGTGAGCTGTAATGTCATGGCACTCAACCCTACTAAGACCTGGATCTTAGACTGCTAGCCTCCAGCATTGTGAGTCAAATTTCTGTTGGTTAAGCCACTTAGTCTGTGGTACTTTTGTTATAGCAGCCCTAGAAAACAAATAACAAACTGATTTTGTGACTCACCATTGGGGTGCTACCTGCAGTTCACAGATCAGAAAGTTCTTTTTCTCTGTGTTTTTTTTTTCTTTGTTTTTGCAGGTTTTTGGCCAGGGGGCCAGGTTTGAATCCACCACCTCCTGTATATGGGGCTGGCACTCTACTCCTTGAGCCACAGGCACGGCCCTCTATGCTTTTTTTTTTTTTTTTTAAACAGCACCTTACTCTGTTGCCCAGGCTACAGTGCTGTATGTCAACCTAGCTCACCACAACCTCAAACTTCTGGGTTCAAAAGATTAGCTGGGACTACCGGCACCCACCACCATACCCAGCTAATTTTTCTATTTTTAGTGGAGATGGAGTCTTGTACTTGCTCAGGCTGGTCTCAAACTTCTGAGCTCAAGAGATCCTCCTGCCTCAGCCTTCCAGAGTGCTAGGACTACAGGTGTGAGCCACCACATCCAGCCCTTTTTCTATGCTTTCTCTCATGTAATCTTCATAGCCCCTGAGTGGGACGGCAGGGCCCAGAGGAGGGTGATGCAACAAGGTACTCATTCTCAGAGTCATGCAGGTGGGGATGTCATCACTGAAGGTCTGGAAACTCTGCAAGTGCACAATCGAAAGATGAGAACCTCCCGAAATTTTGTGCCTGAGGAGCTTTATCTTAGTCTAGACACTGCTGAAGCAGGAATAACTACTGTCCCCATTTAAGGGGTAGACACATATTCAAATTTGTCTCTAAATTCTGGGTTCTTTTCATGACATAAGTATCCCAATTGGTACAATCAATAAGAAAGGAAGACAATAAATATTATTTATCTACCAGTTGCTGTTCATCGTCCTACCCACTAAAAGGAGCCAAGGTGACTACATTTACTTTCCCCGTCTCCTGCCCAAGTCTTCAGATACCTGGATCTCCTGAGACCCTTAGATATCTGGTGAAGCCTGGCTTCAGCTGCTATCTATGGATGTCACAGGCAGAGCGGACCCCTGGGAGCCTATACAAAGTACACGTATTGTGAGCACATGTATGAACATACCTCACCTCCATCCTCACATTGATTGCTATACAAGCTAAAAGACAGACTCCTTGCCTGCCATCTCCACCCTGGACTCTGTACTCCCTCCTCTTCAACCCACTGCGACAATCAACACGTAAACACACACATCTTTAATGACTCTGTCTTTTTAGCAATAATAATACCCCCCCAAGCTGAGGTGTGTGTCTGGGGACCTATATGTAGGATGGAGACCCCTCTGATTTCCTCACACCTTGTTTATTCTGGACCATAAAAACAGTGCCAGGCACCGTGCTAAGCTTTCACATGTATTATCCCATTTCGTTCTCACAACACTGTGGATTAAGATTCTTACTTGCTCCATTTTACAGGTGACAAGGCTAAACCACACAGCAAATTGCCCAGAGTTGTGCTGTTAGCAATATTAGCAGGATTTGGGGCGGCACCTGTGGCTCAGTGCCTAGGGTGCCAGCCCCATATACCAAGGGTGGCGGGTTCAAACCAGGCCCTGGCCAAACTGCAACAACAAAAAAATAGCTGGGCGTTGTAGCCGGTACCTGTGGTCCCAGCTACTCCAGAGGCTGAGGCAAGAGAATCGCCTAAGCCCAGGAGTTGGAGGTTGTTGTGAGCTGTGTGACACCACGGCACTCTACTACCAAGGGCGATAAAGTGAGACTCTGTCTCTACCAAAAAAAAAAAAAAATTAGCAGGATTTTAATCCAAGCAGCCTGAGCCCAAGCTCCTGACTGCTGTCTTCCGCCCTTGGTTCCTACCCTCTGCTGCCTGGCTGGATCCACAGACGTGCATTCATGCAAAGGTAGACGGGGGTGGGGGTGGAGGTGGGGTGGGGGGTGTTGCACAACACGGGGCGGGGAGACCAGGGGAGGAGGAGCTGGGTGCTGGGAATTATTTCAGGCACGAGGGGGCAGCACAGGCCTAGCTTTGGGCCCTCAGCCCAGCCCAGTTAATGGAAAGAGGAAGGGAGTAGAAACTTTCTCCCACCTCCTACTACCCTTCACACACCGCTCTTTCCATACATTGGGGCTCTCAGGTTTGGGGCTGTGAAGGCGTCTCTGAGTACCTCCGGTCCTTCCAGTTCCTCCCCCAGCAAAAACTGCAGAACCATCCACTACTTATGATGATGACTCAGGAGCTAAGCAAGCTCTGTGTGTGTGTGTGTATGTGTGTGTAGCATTGTGATTTCAAGTGGCTCTGAGCGTTGACATGTGTGCCCGCACCTATGTGTGTGTGTGCGCGCGCGTGTGTGTGCGCGCGCGGAGTCTTTTAGCCAGGGAAGTTGTGCGTGTGTGTGTTTGTTTCTGGGCGTGTCTCAGTGTTTACCCCAGAAACAGATAGGACCTTAGCCAAGGCTGCACAACAGATTCGTATTCAAACTTGTCCCCTGGAAATCTGTAGGCAGCAGTTCCAGCTCGTGCTGACTCCCACCAGGGTCTGAGGATGGTGCCTTGTGAGGAGGGGGCAAAGACAGGCTTCCCTTTGAGGGACTCTAGGAGTCTTAATTCTGAGCCCAGGGTTCTCCTCCCCCCACCAGTGGTCACGGGACCTCTAAGGCGTTCCGAGAAGGGAGGGGGACCTAGGAATTCTAGCCACTGTTGAGCTCCCCAGCTGCTTTTCAGGGTCCTCCACTGGAGGGAGCGCAGAGTCCAGAGGGGTTTGCTTTCTCTGAGGCCCCAAAGGACCCTAGCTGCTTGTGGGCCCAAATGCCCAGCCCTGCAGAAGTTTGAGAATGAGACAGTTTGGGGCACCACGTCTCTGGTTGACATTAGGTGACTTTCTAGAGAAAGTTGATTGCTTTTGAGGGGGCCAGAGTAAGTAGGGGTAAGACTCTTCTCCAGCTTGTCTTCAGGGCCTGGAGCCCCAGTCTTGACCCTCCACCTGCTCCCCCACCCAGTCAAGGAGGTACACATGTTCACCCCACTTTCTTCCTCTTCCTCCTCCAGCCCACTTTCTCTTCTCTGTGTCGTCAGAGCTCCAGGGAGGGACCTGGGTAGACGGAGAAGCCGGAAACAGCGGGCTGGGGCAGCCACTGCTTACACTGAAGAGGAAGGCCAGGAGATTGTGTGTGTGTGTGTGTGTGTGTGTGTTCTTCCTTTTTGTTTCTTTTTGGTGGTGGTGGTGGAGGAGGAGGGTAGGTGTTCTAGCAGGGCCAGCCCTGAACTCGCTGGACAGCAACAGACTCATGGGGCCTGGCAGTGCCCGCTGAGAGAGGAAGACAGCAAAAAGGTTGCCAAGGTGAGGGGATGCGACCGATGAGGGGGCGCTCTGACTGTGAGTGGGGGGAGAGTAGAGGAGGGCTCCTGAGGTCCACCCCTGGGCTGGGTGGATGGTCCTCAAGAAGTTGTCTCAGCTCACGTTGGAGCTGCTATTACTCTAGGTTTTCACAGTTTGGAAATGTTGGAGGAATGGGGGGTGGTTGTAGCCTCAGCATTCCCCTCCCCCCGTCACTTTTCTATATCCTCACCTCCAGGGGCACGGAAAGTCCGGGGAAGGAGGAGGAGTGCCCCTCTTGCCCTCTCGGGGGTGGGAGTGACTGCCCCTCCCTAGGGGGTTGATGCCAGAAGGACTGGGTACCTGTCAGAACCCCATTCTCTCCCCTACAAAGGTTCCTGTTCAAGGGTGTGGCTGGGGGTGCGCAAGCCCCAGATGTAGACCTCATGGTGCCCCAGAGGAGGGGGAATTTCCCCCTTAAAACTGCTCCACGCTTGGCTGCTGTAGACGCCGAGATTTCCCGGCGGCGCCGAGTTAACCCTCCTCGTGCTGAACTGGCTCCGCCTCTCGGCAGCCCACTCCCCCGCCTCCGCCGCCACATACACCCATTAGGCAACTTGGAAAACTCTTTTGACTTTTGATCCTGTGGTCCCGTAGTCAGAAGACTAGGGAATAGAAGGAATGAGATAATCAAGTTTAGGCCACCAAGCGGGCAGATGAGGACCCTGGATGTCCGGCTGCCCTTCCCGGTTTGGAGGGCACGCTGGCCCCGCCCCCCGCACACCGTGACTCCGCCTTCATGCCCTCTTCCGCGGATGAAGGCTAAAGGGACCCTGTCCTGGTCAGGCTAATCGATCCTGCTTTGTTATGGGATGAAGGTGGGGAGAAATGTGGCGTCCTGATGTCTGGGGAGAGAGAGGATTGGAAACTTTAAGCCAGGGTCGCGCCAGGAGGCTGGTCACTCCATTAGGGGATGTAGAGAAAAGGGTACTCACTCCAATCCCTAATATACCAGGGATTGAGAGTCAAAAGTCTGGAGTCTATGCATCCTGAGAGACAAAGGAGGAAGAAAGAGGACAGGAATGAATCTGAAACAGTCCAAACGTGGCTTCAAAAAGTACCCCTCCCCAGGGGTGGTTATAGAAAGGCCTATTGGAGAATTCCGAGCAGGAGGGAGGAGGATTCAGCTCTTGAGAGAAAACAGCTGGAGGGAGTAGGGACTGGAGGAAAGAGAGGCATACAGGTTTTGGAGCAGGAATGTCCAGAGAAGGGGCCTCTGGTTTCCATCCCTTTGGGAGCCCTGGCGTCCTGAAGAGGCTGAAAGTGTGACCAGAGGACTTGAGGTCACACGGGGTTTGGGGAAGACCTAGGGAGTTGCCATCCCATCCTCTCCATCACCACCTTCCTACAGCACTCCCAGAAATGAGGATGCTACCCTAGCTCCTGCTTCCTCACACCCTCCTCTCCACTCTCCCCCAGGCTTCTAGCCCCCCCCCCAGCTTCCTCTCCCCTGCTTCTAGCGTCTTCTCCTCAAGCTTACTAGCTCCACTTTTTCTACAGTATCACACCCTCTTAGTTTCGTCTACTTTCCCTTTTTCTCCATCTCTTCTCCTCCAAGTCTCCTCCCATCCTCCTCCTCCTCTCAGGATGACAGGTTTGCAGTTGGAAGGGACCCTGGCTGTGCAGTGTAGGTTAATCCCCACTCAGAGTCAGAGCCTGATTTCTGCACTCATTTGCTGAGTGGCTGTGGGAAAGTTAGAGACACTCCTTAAGCCTTGGTTTCTTCAGCTGTGAAAGGGGATAATTATATATAGTATTTCCAAAATTGTTGAGAGGCTCTAATGAATATAATGTTTCATACATAATAAATGTTTGATACATAGTAGGAATTGTCACTCTACTATCATCTTCATTATCCCTGTGGTTTTCAAGTCTCATGGATACTTGTGAGTTTTTCTTTTTCTTTTTTTTTTTTTTTT